GACCGTACCAGACTGTTGGCAGTGGAGCTGCAGGGAGTGGTGAGCACAGGGCCAAACTCACCATGGACAGAGGACAGTTCCCTGTCCAGGAACTGGTCCCCTTAAATACAGCTCCTGAGACCCCGTGCCTTGAATTCTAGGATTGTGTCCGAGATCATATGAGTAAGTCGCAGTGGAGAAGACAGCACAGCCCTCCTCGCTCTGAGAGACTAGAAAGTGGGCCCACCTATACAGGGGGTGATTTTCATCTATTGCTTTTAGCTTCTGAAAGGTCATTTCCTCCATTTTTTCATATACAAAGCCTTGAGTTCAAAGTCTTAAAACCTGGGTGGTCAATAATCTTGTTGAATGATTAAGTTATAAACTATAACTCCTGGATGCAGCTCCTTGAAGAGCCCCCAAGAGCAGCTCAAGGAGAACACACTGGGCCTTTGTTTAGCACCTGGACATGGGGGCTGGCCTGGCCCAGGGCCGCAGAGAGGAGAGCACCTGTCATCCAGAGCAGGTGACAGTGTTCTCATCAGGGTCCCTGGATCTTTGGTTTTTACAGATGTGCACGGGTCCGACATGGCTAGAGGTGGAGGTTTGCCTGAATGGAGACTGGTACACACTGTTGAGCACAGAAAAGAAAATACACCAGGTGTCCCTGTGTATGTGGGTTTGTGTGGGTAACTCAGGTGATCTCATTCCCAGGAAGGAAGGAGTGAGTCTACTGGGGAAATGAGCTGTGATGCTGTGGAAATTAGCAACTGTGGAGGGAAACAGATCACATTGGAGTGATAGTGGTAGACCCTGTGGGAAAAGTCAGGCGTGGTCACATGAGAAAATGGAGGTCAACCCTTCCAATGTGAGCAGTCAAGGCCCCGCCCCCTGCTAAGAGCCTGTGGTGACATATCCATCTTCTCTCCCCTGGGATTCAGGCTGTGAAGTGAGAGGGAGAAGCATGAGTGGTCACCTCTTTGGAACCATGGCCTCCCTTTCCTTGGCACCTGTCAACACCTTCCAGGCTGGCACTGATGAAAAGAGAGCAGAGACAGCTCATCCGTCTTCCTTTATTGGTCCATTGCTATGGGAGACTTTGTCTAGAGCACCTTGAGACACAAAGGCATAGACACAATCCTGGGAAGCAGTGGATGAGAAGCCTCTCTTATGGTGATCAATGATGCTGCAGCTATCCTTAAAAAAAAAAAATCAGTGTTGATAATCCAGCAGCTAATGTGTTAGTTGATATGTCAAGAGTTCAGGATGATGAAACTGGAGATGGCACTACCTTTGTTACTGTATTAGCAGCAGAATGACTAAGGGAAGAAAAATATTTAATTTCAAAAAAGACTCATCTTCAGGCCATCATTGCGGGTTGGAGAGAAGCTACAAAGGCAGCAAGACAGGCTCTGTTCAATTCAGCAGATGATCATGGTTCTGATGAAGATAAATCTTGCCAAGATTTAGTGAACATTGCAGGAACAACATTATCCTTAAAACTTCTTCCTCATCACAAAGATCACTCTACAAAGTTAGCTGTAGAAGCTGTTCTCTGATTGAAGGGCTCTGGTAATCTGGAGGCAATTCATGTCATCAAGAAGCTAGGAGGAAGTCTGGTGGATTCCTATTTAGATAAAGGCTTTCTGTTGGATAAAAAAATGGAATTAATCAACCAAAAGGAATTGAAAATGCTAAAATTCTTATTGCAAATACTGGTATGAATACAGTCAAAATAAAGATATTTGGTTCCTGTGTAAGGGTTGATTCTACAGCAAAGATTGCTAAAATAAAACAAGTGGAAAATGAAAAGAAATGAAGGAGAAAGTTGAAGGTATTGTTAAGCATGGGATAAATTGCTTTATTAACAGGCAATAAATTTCTAATTACCCTGAGCTGTTTTTTGGTGATGCTGGGCTATGGCTATTTAACATGTAGAACACCTGGCTCTTGTCACAGGTGGTGAAATTGCATCTTCCTTTGACCACTCAGAACTAGTGAAGCTTGGAAGTTGCAAGCTCATTGAGGAAGTCATGATTGGAGAAGCCACCTCATTCATGTTTCTGGTGTAGCCCTTGGTGAGGACTCAGCACATTTTAGATGAAGCAGAAAGATCTTTGCATGATGCTCTTTGTGTTCTTGCACACACTGTGAAGGCTTCTAGAACAGTTTATGGAGAAGGCTGTTCTGAGCTGCTGATGGCTCATGATGTGTTACAGCTGCCAATAAAACACTAGGTAAGGAAGCTGTTGCAAGGGATTCTTAGGCTCAAGAACTGAGGATGTTGCCTCATGTTAAAGCTGACAACGCAGGCTCTGACAGTGCAGATCTAGTGGCACAGCTCTGAGCTGCACATCGTGAAGGCAATGCAACTGCTGGATTGGATATGAAGGAAGGTGCTATTGGTGATGGAAGTGCTTGGCTGATGCAAGCTGTGATCAGACATTGTCCGAGTGAAGTGGCAGGTTCTTCTGCATGCAGCTGATGCAGCAAAGGTGATTCTGCATGTGGATGACATCATCAAAGCAGACCAAGGAAACATGTCCTGATCACCCCCCTTGTTAAGCATTCCTATATGTTGTTATGCTCTAGACCAGTTCATAGCAACGTTGTTCAAAGGACTTCAACTTTATCTTTTTAAATTATTTAAAGAGTGTTCCTATTCCTATTCTTTTAAAAATATATTTTATTGACTTTATTACAGAGAGGAAGGGAGAGGGGTAGAGTTAGGAACATCGATGAGAGAGACGCATCAATCAGCTGCCTCCTGCACACCCCCCACTGGGGATATGCCCGCAACCAAGGTACATGCCCTTGACTGGAATCGAACCCTGGACCCTTTGGTCTGCAGGCCAACGCTCTATCCACTGAGCCAAACCAGTCAGGGCAGGACTTCAACATCTTAAAAAGACTTTGGAATCAAAGTTATCTATGGATCTCTTATCTTTAAGTGTAGACATTTAGCTGATCTTTTACTTTAATATGGGTCTAATTTATTTGCTCTTCATTTTCCATAAAATTCAGTTGTTTTAAAAGTCCATCTCTCATACTGTGAATCAAAATAAAAATTTGAACAATTAATACAATAAAATAGAGATCAAAATATAACTGAGATGTCTTTGACAGTCACAAAAAATAAACACACCAAGGTGATCCAACCCTAACAACCCGAGAAAGAAAAGTGCAGGAGGTTCATGTTCAAGAGACAGAAAGTACCATCTGACACTATTTCCCCTACAATGTGATCAGAGGATAAACAGACCAGAGTGTGAGCCTAGAGCAGTGGACCAAGTGTTGGAGAGAGAGGAGCATCTGTGTGGGTCCCTGGGAACCAGAAGCATGAACTATAGAGACACAAACAGAGCTCCCGGGTCCTGTTCCTTCAGGGGAGTTTAGTGCTGGATGTGTAGTGGCTGCACAGCTTCCTTCGTGGTGTTTATTCTCCAGACTTTGTTGTAGATTCAGTTTCATACTTTGGGATATAGAAGAATCTCAGTCATAACCTGGTGCGTTTCATGATCAGTAACGATCCTATATAATAAAAGGCCAGCTACCATAAGTGTAATGAACTGAACAACCAGAGACTAGAACCACAATGCAAAGAAAGAGGGAGGCCCAGGCCACCAGCAGTAACTCTGTGGCAGGTGTGCAGCCAGCCAGGGATCGCCCAGCAGAGGGAGGCCCAGCCCAGGGAAGCCATTGCACCCCAGCCTGTTGCCTGCAGAGGGAGGCCACTGGTGGCAGTGGAGGCGGGCAGCACTGCACAGAGGGCAAGCAGTGGCAGCGGTGGGGGTGGGGCAAGCTGCCTGAAGCAGGGGGAAGGAAAACCCTGATAAGCCCTTGTCTCAGGCCAGGCCTAGGGACCCTAACTGAGGGGTCCTGGATTGTGAGAGGGTGCAGGCTGGTCTGAGGGACCCCCCCAAGTGCCCGAATTTTTATGCACCAGGCCTCTAGTTTAGAAATAATTAAGTTTAGGTCATGAAAATGCTATGATTTGAAAACTGATTGTAATGACAGGAAAAAGGACTTTCTGTTTAATTCCAGTGGCCACCATAATTTATGAGAATCTCCTGATCATTAAAACCCAAAATTGTTAGCTCCTCTGATTCAAACAGCCCCTCTGTTCAAACTGAGGTACAAGAGGAGCTGGCCTCTAGGCTCCGTTCTTGCTTCCCTGTTCGCTGTTTTCAGAACTCAGGGTTAATTCCCACCAAGGAGTCTCAGGTTATTGGAAAGTTCCCCTTACCCCTCTGCTTCAAACATCCATCCTTGTAAACCCTCAAACTTTGTGCTCTAAGCATGTTACAGGCTTGGGGAATATTCTGATGAGACACCTCCCTGGGACATCTACCAGACCAGCCGTGGGCAAACTACGGCCCACGGGCCGGATCCGGCCTGTTTGAAATGAATAAAACTAAAAAAAAAAAAAAAAAAAAAAAAAGCTCCCCCCCTTTTATGTAATGATGTTTACTTTGTATTTATATTAGTTCACACAAACACACCATCCATGCTTTTGTTCCGGCCCTCCGGTCCAGTTTAAGAACCCATTGTGGCCCTCAAGTCAAAAAGTTTGCCCACCCCTGTACCAGACAGTCTGCTGGAAAGTGACACAATGTAACTTTTCAAGAAAATCCCCCTGGTATCTGCCCAATTTCAGTCCCAAATCCTTCTTCCGTCCTTGTCACCTAGCAACAGCTGCCATTACTCTTGTAAAATGGAAGCCAGGTTTGTTCCCTGCCCTGTATTGACTACTGACACATGAGATCTTTCTCTTTTTGGAAACTAAAATAAACGTCATCTCTGTATCTCTCAATTTAGTTGTGAATTCTTGCACAGCCTGAGTCACCAGCCAAACCCTTACACATGTGACCCTTGGGACTACTGTCAATGTGTCCCCACATGATGGGGGTCAACTGGAACCTGCACCTGATTCAGTGCCACATTGTCGGGGGAAAGCTACCTGGGAACATGATGGGGGTTAAGCAAGACTGAGGACACACATGGCCAGGGCTCTTGTTTCATTAGGTTGTCATCTTGTTGATGTTCAGCCAGTTCCAGTTTTCTTTCCTCACTTTCCTCTGAAACAGCCCCATAAAGTCATGAAGACACTCTGATGAGAAGGTGCAGGAGCACAAGCCATTTGTGTGTTGCTTTTGTATCTTACATCGTTCCTAAATTCCAATTCTATTAGCTTCTCATACAGTTTTTAGGGTTTTCTATGTACAAGATCATGTTATCTGCATACAGATAAGGAGAAACATTTTAACTTGTTTCTCTCTGATGTAGACATTTTAAATTTCTTTTTCTTGTCAAATTATTCTGACAGGGACTACTAGTTTTGATAAATAGAAGTAGTAAGAGGGGAGCCCTTGTCTTGGTCCTGAAGTAAGAAGAGAAGCTTTGAAATTTTCCCTGTGTAGCATGATGTCACTTGTTGGATTCTCAAATGTGGCCTTTAGTATATTGAGGCCCATCTCTTCTACAGCTAATCTCTTAATAATTGTAATTCTGAAGCAATTTTCAACGTAAAGTCTTTATTCTGTATTTATTCATATTTTTTGTTTGACTGCTGACAACTGATGTCTTATTTTTGCCTCTCGACATGCCACACACCAGGAATCTGATAAGAAGCCATGGTTTTTGTCTTTAGATGTCATTGGGAGATTGAAACCACACAAGCCCCTGGAAGCAGAATTCCTCTTCTCTCCTACCATCTCACCAAGATAAAAGCCCTGAGGCTATTGGGCTGGGCTTTCCCTGGAGCCTTGTTCTCTTTATATGTGGGAAGGCCCTTGTTCTGTGAGCTGTGGGAGACTCAGGACAAGGTTAAAACACAAGGGTGATGACATGAGGGTTACCCTGGCCACCTGCTGGGACATTCCTGTAACCACAAGGGTCCCCTTCAGAGGGAAACACAGCAAATCAGACTAAAAGGTTTTTTAATCGTTGAAACCAGACATTGGGAAGGGTTTGCACATCCACCTGAGTGAATGACGACCAGGAGGGAAGCATGAGGTAGGGAGAATGGAGAGCTGTGGTGGGAGGTCCTGAGGGAGGATCTTCCTCGCCTTGGCCCAGGTTGGCCTGTTAGAGGGAAACATGGGGACTGGGGGCCTGAACTCAGCACACAGGGGCCTGGGCTGCACTGGGGTATCTTGTTGGGAAAGTTTTCCAAACCCAGGAAAAGGAGAACAATGAGGAGGGTCTCCTTGCAGAGAAAGAGAAATAGAAAATACAAAGACTTGGTGAAGGAGAGTCCTCATCACTGCGGACATATCACCTGCAAACAGACAATGTCCCTCCTTCGTTGTTGTCTGCAGTGAGAATATGAGAAGGCTGAATCTTCCCTGGAGGCAGCTGAGAGCTTTAGAGGAAATCCCTGTGCCCAACAGGAAGGCCCTTCCCTCCCTGCTACCTCTGCCCCAGCTCCTAAGGCTGTTCTCTGTGCTGTGGGTCCTGAGCGCCCCCTGGTGTCTTGAGCGGCCCCTGCAGCCCAGCCCTGCTGTCTCCCTCAGGGAGGTTTGTGTCTGGGCTCACACTGACTTCCCCTCACTGTGCCTCTTGAACAGTAATACACAGCAGTGTCTTCGGTGGTCACAGAGCTCAGCTGCAGGGAGAACTGGTTCTTGGATGTGTCTCTGGAGATGGAGGTTCGGCTCTTGAGGGAGGGGCTGTAGTAAGTGTCTCCATTATTATTTATGCACCCCATCCACTCCAGCCTCTTCCCTGGGGTTTGGCGTATCCAGGTCCAGTCATAACTACTGGTTGTGATGGAGAATCCAGAGACCGTGCAGGTGAGGGAGAGGGTCTGTGACGGCTTCACCAGTCCTGGACCTGACTCCAGCAGCTGCACCTGGGACACGACACCTGGGGACAAGGAGCATCAGTCCTGTCAGTCACTTGCAGTCACCCCCATCCCCTGACCCCTGCCTGACCCCTGAGACCCTTACCTTGGGGGGTTGTCACCAGGCACAGGAGAAGACCCAGAAGTCTCATCTTCTTCTAGACCACAACACTGCCTTCCCAGAGACCGCAGCCCTGTGTGAGGGGAGAGCTGTGAGCCTGCACAGTCCAGGAGAGGATGTACCCTGGAGCTTGAAGAGAAATTTGCATGTGGCTCAGCATTTCCCTTATAAGTAGAGGGACTGAGTTCGGCATTCTCTGGTCATTTTGGGCCCCATGTTGGGGCATCCCTTTCCTTGACCTCACTCACCAGGTAAGTCATGGATGGGGCCCACCTGGGTCATGAGACTCGTTGGGATTAGGTCAAGGACAACCTCTCTTGAGCAGAAGAAGAAATGTTGGACTAGATGAGTAGGTTACATTGGTAAATTCCCATTCATCTTCCAAACAAATTTCTTAGGGATTACCGTTTGTTTAGCTTCTGAAATCCAACACTTACAGACATCTACAATTACAAATGTTTATCATTGTCATTTTATATGCTAATTATGTTCATCTTGTTGTAAACCATTTGAAAAGCACAGTCATTTTTTTTCTATCATAATGTCTTCATTTATGACGTTACTTTGATATGAGTAACTGCTTCCCAACTACAGGACAAAGGGATTCCCTTGATCATTGATGTTGAAATTTTTTTGTTTTATAACACATTGTGCAAAATTTCCCTTATGCAAGCCCATGGCTTATTGCAAAGACACCAAACTAATAACATCCAAAATAATAATGGTTTCACCTGAAGAAGAGATCCGAAATAAAAACAGTGATTATGCATGTGTACAATTGAGAATCTTTCATATCTTGAAATGATATGGCAGCCTGTTAAGTGACCTGATTTCTCAGTCTAGTGTTATCAGTAATGTTGGGGTTCAAAGTGAGGGGAATTTGAGAATTCCTACCACAGTTTTTCTCACAGGAAAAGGAACTTCAACCCCATAAGAAATTACTCACTCCCAGCCTCCCTCTGCCCTGTGCCCGGGGATGCTCACTGAGGTGAGAGGGTGCTGGGCTCTCCCCCATAACATACAATATCCTTAATGTGTAATGCACACATTCTCCCATCAGGCACTTGATTTGGAGATATAGTCTCTTGCTAAGCCTGTCATTTAATTTCTTTGATGGAATATTTGGTGGGACAAATGATTTTACTTTAATTAAAGTTCAATTCATCAGTATTTTCTTTAATGGGACCTGTTTGGGGTCATTTTACAAAGAACTCACCAGAAAATGTGGAGCCTCCACTGTCCATGTAGATTGGTTACAGCAGCCACTGGGACTGGAGCAGGTTCTGGTACCAGAAGGGAGCGCTGCTGGGAAACTACCCATAAATCTGGACGTGACTGTGGAACTGGGTGAGGGGAGGAAGCTTGTTTTGAGTCACATTACAGAGATATGACTGATATTCATGGACAGAGAGTTACTGGACATGTGGGTTTAAAGCCTCCTCCAGTGAAGGCCCACAAGGAAGTACAGGGCATGATAGAGACAACTTATATCATTGTAGAAAATACCTAAATAATTAGGAACAGGAGTTTGTGAGAAGTAGAAACATTAAACATTCTGAAGGTAAGGATCAAGAGAAATAAGGAACGTGTCACTGCAAAGTGATGGGAAGGGGATCCCTGTTTCCTATATGCACATTCCTAGTATCTCTCTTCTAGAAGGTAACACCTTTCCAGTTCCGGGGGATCTGCACATGGGCACCTTTGGGGTCATTACTGATCTGTTCTCACCATGGATCATCCAAGCTGCATAATTCATTGGGGTCCCTTTTATCAAATCTGTAAACACTGAGGTAAGGGTGGACACCCCTCACTGGAGAAGTCATGGTGATGGTGTGTGTATGAGGAGCCATCATTCCATTAGACCAGGGCTCCTCTCTCAGTCCATCACCCTCATTGTAATCATCATCATCATCATCATCATCATCATCATCATCATTGTCATCATCATCACGATTTGCTTAGTTATAATCATGCTGCTCATTTTCTACAGACATAGTGTTTTCTTTTATCAGAAAAGAAAACAGGCATCTACTCTTCAGATACCATTGGAGATTGAATCCCTCCAGGCCCAAATATATGTTGACACCAGGCCTTAGCGAAAATCAATGACCTTTGATAAAGTACACATTCCACCAAGACATTGGACCAAGAATCTTTCCAATTCTAAAATCACCTTCACCATCACCATTACCACCAATGCCAACACCATCATCAATGTCATCATCATCACCATCATTTGCTTCCCTATAATTATTCTTCTTATTTTCTGTAGACCTAGTATTTGTATGAACACAAGGACACTTTATCTCAATGTTTGTTCATTTTTCATAGTTGTAAGAAAATGGGTAGTCAAAGTCTATAATCTTTTTCATTAGACCTTTAACAACTGATGGCTCATTGTTGCCTCTTCTCCATCTGCCCCTGACATGGAAAATCAAATAATTTTTGCCCTAACTGGTTTGGCTCAGTGGATAGAGTGTTGGCCTGCAGACTTGAGGGTCTCAGGTTCGATTCCGGTCAAGGGCATGTACCTTGGTTGCAAGCACATCCCCAGCTGAGGATGTCTTTAGATGTCATTGTGAGATTGAAACCACCTCCTGGAAGCAGAATTCCTCACCTTTCCCATCACCTCACCAAAATAAAAGCCCTGGCCCAATCTCCTTTTCTGACTCTATGAAAGCAGATCTAACTTCTTCAAGGGCCTTTCCTGAGCTTCTCAGGGATTTGAACTATCAGCATAATTAACATTCCATGTGCCCTTTGTGTGTGTGTTGGTCATCAGCTGGCATACTTTCACTGAGCTGCTGTGGGTCTCTTTGTCTCTGCCTGGTGTCACCCCCTCTTTGTGTTATGAGCATGATGATAAGACAATGAGTGTCACCAACTGGGGTCCTTCTTCTCTAGCTTTGGGTTCGCATACTCTTGGTGCCTACTGGCCAGAATTCAGAGGAGCTGCACTTTTGAGTCAGCAGAGTGTCTTGTTAGATTCAGGGGATGTGGGTCAGAAGATTTGGTGATTAATAGTCATTTTAGCACAAGTGTGTCTGAAAGACACTCTCTGCAGATTGTCCATGTTCAAAAGTTGTCTCTGTTTACAACAGACTTTCTAAATCAGAGACTTCAGAGGTAAGTGCAGAATCAGGGATCCAGAGAGGTTCCCTAAGGGAAACTGTGACATGAAGAGGAAACCACACAGAAAACCAGGCCAGACTTCAACTGCATGTGCTCCTGAAAAGTTTCTTGTGTTCAAGGACCCTGAGTGACCACCTAGTGGCCACAGCCTCTCCTGCAGGGAGGTTAGAGTCTGGGCTCACACTGACTTCCCCTCACTGTGTGTCTAGCACAGTAATACCTGGCCCTGTCCTTGGCTCTCAGGCTGCTGAGCTCCATGTAGGCTGTGTTGATGGATGTGTCTCTGGTGATGGAGACTGCCTTGGAACTTCTGTGCATAATTTGTGTTTCCACTGCTAGGGTTAACTTCCCCCATCCACTCAAGCCCTTGTCCTGGGGTCTGTCACACCCAGTGCATCCAGTAGCTGGTGAATGTGTACCCAGAAACCTTGTAGGAGACCTTCAGAGAGGCCCCAGGCTTCCTCACCTCAGCCCCAGACTGCACCAGCTGCATCTGGGATTGGACACCTGTGGTGAGGAGACAGGAGTGGGTGGAAATCTCCCTTGACTCTCCCTGGTCCCATTCTCCACTTGTGTCCCTTACCTGTAGCCACAGGCACCAGGAGGAGGGTTCTGGAGCTCCAGTCCATGGTGAGGGGCTGTGCTGTGATCAGTTCTGCAGGGGAGGGTGTGGCTATGGGTGATGCCCTCAGGGCACAGACTTATCCATATTTGAGCTAGTCTACCTCCTCTCTTTTGCATATTCATGAGGCAGAGTATTTCATAGCTGAGGTCTTGACCACACCTGAGAGAAGATTGAGGACACAAGAATCATGTTCATTGGGAGTCTGAGGGTCCAAGCCCTAATTCTTTTTTTAGAAATTATATCTTTATTGTTGTGTTAACATAAAAAAAACCCATTGAAACCTGTAAAGATTTTTGTGAGTTTATTTGAGCCAAACTGTTGACATATGCCAGGAAGCAGAACCTCAACAAATTGAGATAATGCTCTGGAGAATTTCAAGGCTCAGTTAAGGTAAAGGTTGACCTTGTCAGTGAAGATACTGGCCTAGGACGTAACTGCCCACCATAACTGCTTTTAGTTCAAGTTTAATTTCAGACAATCCTTTGTGGTTACTTTAGGTCTCAGAGTTTGCAAGAATGCCATGCAGGCCTCCCCTGAGCTTGTCAGGTCAGCATGTGGCCCCTTTCATCCACAGTTGAAATTATTACGTACTAGAGTCCCAGTGCATGAATGCATGCATCAGTGGGGTTCCTGGGCCTGACCTGTGGAATTGGGCCTTAACTGGCTCTCCAACATTCCCTGAGGGGTCCTGGATTGCGAGAGGGTGCAGGCCAGGCTGAGGGACCCCACCCGTGCACAGTTGGGGCTGGGGAGAGATGCTGGAGGTTGGCCAGCCAGGGAGGGACCACAGAGGGCTCCAGGGTGAGTCTAGCCTGTCTTGCCCAGTCCCAATTGGCCAGACTCCAGCAGCAAGCTAACCTACCTACCAGTCTGAGCGTCTGCCCCTTGGTGGTCAGTGCACGTCATAGGGACTGGTCAACTGGTTAACTGTCTGCCCCCTGGTGGTCAGTGCATATCATATCCAACAATAGAGTGGCCTTAGCATATCATTAGCATATTAAACTTTGATTGGTTGAACAGCCGTCGGTCAACCTGACACTTCGTATATTAGGCTTTTATTATATAGAATGTCCCATTTAATTCCCCATTGACCCTTTCTAGCCTTCCCCAAGACTTCACCATCATATTGTCTGCATCCATGGATTATGCGTATATGCATAAATGGTCTTTGGTTGATCTCTTCCCACCCAACCACCCTACCCCAATTTCCCTCTGAGATTCCACAGTCTGGTCCATGCATCTAGGTCTCTGAATCCATTTTTTTCATCAGTTTATTTTTTTCATTAGATTCCACATATGAATGAGATTA